TCTCCAGGCAGGACAAGTTCTGGAGGAAGAAGTACATCGGGCTTTGTAGAGCAGGCTCCACTGTTGTGATGAGGATGATGAGAATGTTACCCATCAGAGTTATCACGTAAGCAGCCAGGAATACCACAAAGAGCAGGCGCTGGAGCTGGGGGAGATTGGAGAACCCTAGGAGAATGAACTCAGTGACCATGGTCTGGTTGGCCCAGGTCATTCTGTCACCATTCAGGGTAATTTCATCTATATTTCCCCCCTAATGTTCCACCAAGGGCACCCACTCTACGCTCTGAGCTCCACAGCTGTCACCTCTCTGGGGTAGAGACTCATGTCTCTCCCTCTTTACCAGAGGGCTTCGAGCCCTGCCTACATTCTAATTTCCCCAGTAAGCCAGACTGCCTTAGCAGGCCTACGTCTGTGCTTTCCTTTCTCTTCCAAGCCTACAAACGGATTAATTCCCCCCAGCTATATGTTACCATGCAATTCTTTCTAAGCAAGAACGTTTACTCTTAAGGTGAAAGCATTACAGAGAAAACATATTAAAATAATAAAAGAACCTATATGCATGCTCATAAGATAACCAGAGATCACCTCAACTCCAGCAAGGGCTCTGATAGGAGTTGTTCCTTCCAAACCCACCAAAGGGTTTTTCTGAGGTTACAAGTTCATAGCAGCATTAGCTCAGAACTCACACATTCATGAAAACTTTTGCCTCTCCTTTATACAGCCTGGACCTTTGTTTTTCAGATTCCAGGAATAGGTAATCAGCCGAGAATAGCTCTCTCCTCAGGGCATAGCTTCAAATGGCTGGGTTGCTGCATAACCGAAGGGGTGACATTTACATTCACCTCAACCTAGAGCTTCCCAGGAAAGCCACCAATCAGTGTATGTTCTAAATGTATATTCTTGTCTGGCCCATTCCTTAGTACAATCCTTTGAAGCTCATACGACTGCCAAGAGTTCACCACCCCTCTCCCATTCTGGACAGGTTACAGATAATCCTGGCCCACAATAAATTATAAACCATTAATTTAATACAATGGACTCCAAAGATACTTAAACTTAATTCAATAAGGTTTTTCAAGGATATTGCAGGAAATTGCCATATCTGCAACACATTCTTCTAAACATTCTTAATCTGAGTCTGAATGAGGTTACGAAGAGAGTAATCCATTTCTCCTGAAGCCTTCAGATTTCCCGTCCTCTTTGGTAAGTTTAGTTATGTTCAGTGGAATTCACGCTGCAGGCAAGGTAGTATTTCCTCTCTGTCTGATTGTCATGGAAAGTGGTCAGAAGTGTCACATTGTGGACTACCCCATTTATGATCCACCTTCTGTTCCTGAGGCAGCCACTGACTATGAGCAAGATATTAAAATCTCTGAGTAATATAGTGTGATGGAAAGGCTCTGTTATTTCAAGCCAGTGTCAGAGTACAAGTGGAAGCCAATAGAAGTCTGTGATCTGCAAAACATACAAGAATGAAAAACAAGACAAAACACAAAAGTAACTAGGAAATTGTTTGGACTGTGGTTTTCACAGCCTCTAACTGGGGCGGGGTGTGAAATGGTTTTCCCATCCAGCAAGAATTTTTGAGATTTCAGAAAAAATATTCTCATCTTGAATCAGGCCAAAAAATCTTTTGTGAACCAACAAACCAAATAATTCAACTGATGAATGAATCAATCAACCAATCAAGCAGTCACTCAATTTGAGGCAATGAAAATGTTTTATTTTGTTAATTTTGAAAAATGCTTCATTTGAATTTTAACCTTTTTATTCTTTCTAAATAAAGTTTAATTTTGAAATAAAAAAGTCATTTTCAACTGAAATGTTTTGTTTAGAAGATGTCCATTTTTTGAGCAGAGAAATTCATTGAAACTCATCAGAAATTCATTCATTTTCCCATGTATGCATTCAGTTTACATGAATCAGCATTTTTCAGCAAAAAATATTTTGTAGAAAAATTCTCAGAGAACTCTATTCCAATGGGTTGTCCGCTGGTATAATTAAGACCAGAACTTGTCAATTGTCTTTATCCATTTCCCACATGACCTCCAAATCAGATCAATTGTGATCCATTTGTCTCTGTTTTATCACAGAGGTCTGAACATTCTAGATGTTATAGTTCCTTGCTATTCATAACATCTTGTGATACTGAGGGGAGAGTTTCAAAGGCAAAAAGGAGAATTAATTGATTATCCCCTTTGTGACTTAGAAAATCATAGACTCATAGAATCATAGGACAGGAAGGGACCTCGAGAGGTCATTTAGTCCAATTCCTTGCACTCAGGGCAAGGCTACGTCTTTACTAGACCATTCCTGATGAGTGTTTGTCTGACCTGTTCTTAAAAACCTCCAATGATGGAGATTCCACACCCTCCCTAGGCAATTTGTTCCAGTGCTTAACCACCCTGACAGTTATGAAATCTTTCCTAATGCCCAGTCTAAATCACCCTTGCTGCAATTGAAGCCCATTACTTCTTGTCTTATCCTCAGAGGTTAAGAACAATTATTCTCCCTCCTCCTTGTAACAACCTTTTATTTACTTGAAAACTGTTATCATGTCCCCCCTCTGTCTTCTCTTCTCAAGACTAAACAAATTCAGTTCTTTCAATCTTTCCTCATAGGTCATGTTTTCTAGATGTTTAATCATTTTTGTTGCTCTGCTCTGGACTTTCTCATATTTGTCCACATCTTTCCTAAAATGTGGCGCCCAGAACTGGACACAACACTTCAGTTGAGGCCTAATCATCACAAAGTAGAGTGGGAGAATTACTTCTCATGTCTTGTTTAGTGCTCCTGCTAATACATCCCAGAATGATGTTCATCTTTTTGCAACAGTGTTACACTGTTGACTCATATTTTGCTTGTGATCCACTATATGTAACTCCCCCATCCCTTTCTGCAGTACTCCTTCCTAGGCAATCATTTCCCAATTTGTATGTGTGCAACTGATTGTTCCTTCTTAAATGGAGTACTTTGCATTTGTCCTTTAAATTATAAAAAAAAAAATGAATTTTTACCAAACCTACTTATACAGGAGGCCAGAGGAAAGCATTGAAGAGCTAGTGATGCACCATGTGGAAGGCTGTTGACGAATCAGGAAGAGTAAGCCTAAAGAAACACCCCTTGGATGAAGCTGGAAAAGTGTTCATCAGAGTCCTTTGGTAAAGGATAGTTTCAGGGGGAGTGAAGGGAGGAGAACTCACTGTGGAGGCAACCAATGCGGTGGGAAGGAAGACAAGACAACAAGAATGAAGAGTGCATGGGACATCAAAGGTGTTAAAAGTTTCTCTTAATCTTTCAACAGTGCACTACAAAAATATAATAGATAGATAGATAGATAGATAGAACAGTAACCAGGATTAATAATGAAGCAGGTTTCACATCTCTGGAAATATGAACCTGCTAGTTATTTCATCTGTTTAAGAAGGTAAATCACCGACAATGGTGTGTAAAGTTTGCCTTTTGGAGCAACACAGAAATAGGTGAAAGAATGTCAACATCTGGAGGGAGAGAATACTGCTAAACTCATCTCATGAAAATCTTTACCTTCCTCTGCCAGAGTGAGGGTTTCCTACCGACAGCAAAACAGGGTTGGTTTAGTCTTCTTATCTGGATTTACTCATCAGCACTGGGACACTTCAACAGAGACATCCGACGATAGCAACTACAGGCAAATTGGCTGTTTACACATTACCTTAATCATACCATAAAACCTGCTAATATAGCTTTAGCATTGGGGTTAAGTGAGTTGATGTGATCTGGCAATGTTTCATTCCCCGATGCTGTCCTTCTCTGAGGTGTCTGGTAACATATTTATGGCATCATGAGACGTTTATGTGGCCTTCTCCCCAAGGGCCTTGTTTCCTGGGAACTCATTATTGCCTAGTGCAACTATACACATATAGTTGGCTTGATAACTATTACCTCATTTATTGGTGGGGTGTTCTGAATGGTGATGGGCCTGAGCCAACCCTGCAGGATAGAGTGCTCCTACATTTGAGAGAGTTTGGAACTCAAAACCTGATGATGATGATTTTGATGATGATGATGATGATGAAGAAGAAGAAGAAGCTGTTGAAATATCACCTATCAGGGATGATCTAGATCAGAGGTCCCCAAACTGGAGAAATGTTCAGGGGTGCACGGCTGGGGCCCAGGACAGCACCCACAGGGGGTGGGGAGGGAGCACCACCCAGCTCCGCTCCTGGTCCTGGCCCTGGCTGCTGGCCCTAGTTGCCAGCCCTGTGCCTGGGGACCTGCTAGCCCAACACCTGAGGTCCCTGCCGCCAGCCCCATGCCAGGGGCCCCAGATCCTGGCCTGGTCCTGGCCTGGTGGAGACACTGCTCCCAGCCCTGCCCCCAACTGTGGCCCCAGCCTCAGCCTCCTTACCCCTGTCTGCATCCCCCTTCCCAGAATTGAGGCACCGCTCCTGGTTCTGGCTCTGGATTGGGTGGGGGGATAGGGGCAAGGGTGTGTGTGAAGTAAAAGGTTTGGGGACCACTAGTCTAGATGATAGTTGTGCCATGAGTGCAGGGGATTGGATTAGATGACCTCTCGAGGTCCCTTCCAGTCTTTTGATTCTATAATTCTATGACTTATATTACATCAGTGGCTTGAGGGCTCAGTGGAGATCAGGTTCCATTGTGCCAGGCACTGGACAAACACACAGTGTGGATCAGTTCTTTCCTGGAAGAGCTCAAGGTCTAAATAGACAAGAGAGAAATGTCAGGAGGGAAAGCAGAAACCTGAAGGAGAAATGAAGTGACTTGTCCAAGTTCACAAAGTAGGTCAGTGCCAGAGCTGGCAATGGTTTCCAAATGTCCTGAATCCTATTCAAGTACCCCTACGGCAATGAAGGCTAGGGTTGTAAAATTAGCTAAACTAAGGCATCCTATTGGCGCATCTAACTCCCTTGGGTTCCCTTGAAACATGCAAATGAAGAACTGAGGAGTGGATAGGTAGATGGATAGGAAGAGGAGGTTATTGTATAATTATGTGGATGGATGGAAAGTTACAATAGCTAGAGGGACTGATACATAGAGCAGGTGGATAGTTATAGTAGGTGGATGGATGGATTATTTAAATGGATGGATAGACATCCCCCTGCCCCAATGAGCCCCACTCACATGAGCAGCCCTACTAATGCCCAGAGCAAACCCATTCACATGAACAATCACACATGACTAGAGCTTGCTCACATTATCAGTCCAAGCCCCAGGCCCTGTTCACATGAGCGCTGCAGTCTCAGTTCCTCATGACTGTATTCATAGAGTCACAGAGTATCAGGCCAGAAGGGACCATTTGACCAACTAGTCTGAGCTCTGCAGTGCACAGAACATTACATTTCAGTCAGTTACTCCTTTATTGAGCCTAATAACTTGTGTTGGAATGAGGTCAGGTCTACATGGTGGATAATGCTCACTTACAGTGGTGTGATTTCTAACGCTCACATTAATTGGTCTGCATAGACCCTGCTGGTGTGCTCCCTGGTGTGCTTTAACACAGTGTTGTTTGAAAGAGGACTAAGTTAAAGTGCACTAGGGAACCTTTAGCATGTGCCAGCAGGGTCTACATGAATGAATTAAAATGCAACACCTTAGTGAGCTTCAGGTATCACACACTTATAAGTGTGCATTGCCCCACCAGGTAGACAAGCCCTAGAGCATGACTTGTGTTTCTCTAAAGCACATCTTCCAGCAAGGAATACAGACTTAATCTGAAGACATCAACAGATGAAGAATCCACCCCTTCCCTCAGTAGTTTGTGCCAAAGGTTAATCACCACCACTGGTAAAAATGTGAGCTTTATTTGTAATTTGATTTTGTCTGGCTTCAGTTTGTAACCATTGGCTCTTATTCTGCCTTTCTCAGATAAATAGACCTATTTACTGTCACAAATATACTGTACTTACACACACACAGGTACCTTTCTCCAAGCTTAGTGGCACAAGTAGTCACTGTGGGTATTGACACACATAGTCTCACACTTACTTTCCTCAAAAGAGTTGTTCCATGTCCTCAGGTGAATAATGTTGATCACGTCATGACATCACACGTACAATACCAGTTCAACTTAGCCAGAAGATTTCCTCATGTGAGTACATTTTACTCATGGACTTAAACCATCATGGTGCCTAACTCTATAAAGAGGGTTTCACCACTGAGAATTACAAGCAGAGGGAGTCACATAACTCTGTGAGAGGGGCAGGATGTAGGACACATGCCTTTCATCAGCATCTCGAACTGGCTATCTTAGTGGCTCCCCACCTTGCATGCCGGCTTTTGTGACTCGCAGTCTAAGGTACCTAGCTTTCCCCACTAATTTACAGGGAGTCTAGGCACCTAACTCAGGTTTTTGTGAATCACAGAATTGCTCCTGTGATTTTCTAGGCACTGAAAAGTGAATTGAGGCCTAAGTAAGCACTGAGTACGTAATGAGTAAAAACTGAGTAGTTCACTTCAGGCTCTGGTCCACTATTTTATTGCATGTTATTTTATTTTTGCTTCATGTTTGCATGACAAATGCACTTCCATTCTGCAGATATATGACCTTAATTAAGGGGAAAACCCACCTTGGTTTGGATGGAGAAACTGAAACCTTCTTATAGAAAAAAAGTAGAGGGAGAGATTAAGAGAGAGAGAGTGAATTTTCTCCTTGCCTTCAGTGGGAAAAGGATCAGACCAAAAGAGACAGCAAGAGACAATCACAGAGAGAAAGAGACAATGTTGGAATGTGAAATGAATGCGAACCCCACACACTGTAACTATTGCACTAAAAAACACTATGCTCCCAGGAGACCGAGGACTCCGAGGATCAAGACAACTTCAGTGACCCAACTCTTACAGTTACAGAATATATTTCACAGACACATTTCAAGAAGAAAGCAGAACTGAAACCCAGATCCTGTTCTCATTGTAGTCAGTTGTAAAACTGTTCTTAAACTCACCCTAACCTGAACTGTAATCCTAATGGCCTCATTGGTGAAAGATCAGGGGGCAAGAAATTTAATCTCTTCCACTAACACTGGTCAGCTTTCTAGCACTGAACAGACACATGGGCCAGATTTCTTCTACAACACTAGGAACCAAATAATACAAAGAAGCTGAGAGTTTGATCCAACTCTACTTAGGGGAACCCTTGAGAAGTGAATTGGAAATTTGCCATTGATCTCACTGGAAGCAACAAAAGACTCTTAATGATCTCAGTCAACTGTTTTAACCTAATAAATACTGGAGTATGGTTCAGAGATGTTATCCCTGTGCTCACTACTGAAAAGGCAACAGAGACAGCGTAACTTCATTAACACATGGATTCTTTGGAGTCAGTGAAAAACCTTTCCAACTTCAAGAGGTCGGTAAAGAATTTCCTACAGCATTTACAGGTAGTGTTACGTGGTGTGCAGATACTATGCAGTCAATGAAGGAAAAAAGAAAGAAAGAAATGTAGATAAATAGATAGACAGACCGACCTTCTCATAGATGATAATAACTATTCTACAGTATTTTGATACCATCATCTAGACTTATATAGCAGAGATATACTTTTTTCTTCTATTCTATGGGATTTTACAAGTGTAGTTTTGGTTTGATTGGTGTTTGTTTGTTTTTTGCTTCTTACAGTTAAGGCATCTTAAGTAATAGATGGACAGTTTTTGGTATATTTTACTGGAAGTCTAAATAAATACATAATAATAAGATATGAAGCAAGTCTTCCCATTGGCTGGTGTTTTCCAGAGTTCCTAGGTGTCTATTGGATTTGTGCTCCTAACTCAGTTAGGTGATTTGGAAAATACTACTCTGAACAAAAGGAGCCAACCTCATTTTTGATGTGATTGCAATGAATTCACCAGAGTTGCCCTAGAAAATTTCTTGGCCCTTTTCTGTCTAAAGACCCAGTTAAAGAGAGGCAAACAGGGCCAGATTGTCAAAGATATTTAGGCAGGTTAGGAGGCTAAGTCCCATTAACATCAGTTGGAGTTAGGTAGGTGTCTAAACTGCCTAGACTTTTAAAAATCCTACTAGGTGTCTATCTGAATCTATAGACATTCGATTAGATTCAGTCATTTAGAATTCAAAGTGATATTGATAAACTGGGGAATTGTTCTGAAATCAACACGATGAAATACAATAAAGACAAGGGTAAAGTACAGGGGTTGCCTCAGCTGGAGCACTGTGTCCAGTTTCGGTGCCAGATTTTAAAAAACCTGGGAACAAATTGGAGATAGTCCAGAAGAGAGCACCAAATATGATCAGAGGTTTAGAAAACCTGATCTATGAGGACACATTGAAAGAACTTGGTATGTTTATCTAGAGAAGAGAAGACGAAGTGGGGACACAATAACAATCTGCACATAAACAACAAGGAGTCCGGTGGCCCCTTAAAGACTAACAGATTTATTTGGGCATAAGCTTTCGTGGGTAAAAAACCAGTTCTTCAGATGCATTACCCATGAAAGCTTATGCCCAAATAAATCTGTTAGTCTTTAAGGTGCCACCGGACTCCTTGTTGTTTTTGTGGATACAGACTAACACTGCTACCCCCTGATATTTGACAGTCTTCACATAAGTTAAGGGAAGTTATAAAGAGGATGGTGATCAATTGTTCTCCATGTCCATTGAGGGTAGGATGAGAAGTAATTAGCTTAATTTGCAGCAAGGAAAGTTTAGGTTAGATATTAGGAAAAAATATTTCTAACTATGTGAGTAATTAAGGAGTGGAACAGGTTGCCTAGAGAAGTTGTGGAATCCTCATCTTTGGAGGTTTTTAAGCACAGGAAAGATAGATAGACAAACATTTGGAAATCTCAGCCTAAATTCTCCAGCTCTGTCAGTATAATGACTCCCAGCAAAGTTTGGAACTCCAAATCCTCAGCACCACTGCAGATTGCTACCACTTGTATAACTTAGTCTCCTATCAGCAGTGATAGGCTTTTCTCTTCCAGAGGATCAGTCAGTAGCAAGCTATCTGACACTCATTTTTCCAGTAACTTACTTAAACCACTGAAGGTGTAACCTACACACACACACGCACATTCACCAGGTATGGGATAACCATAAATATAAAGGACGCTTCTTCCAGAATTTTAATGTTCATCCTCTTTGTAACTGAACACAAAGAGTTATTTTATTCTTGGAAGAAAAGTCTCCTGCTTGGAAGGGGGATTAGTTACCCAGTAGTGTGACATAAGCATCCACCATCTGAATGTCATGCCCCTTCAACGTATCTCAAGTTGGGCAACCAAAAATTGATACAACAAAAATAACTGGGTCACTTTTGAGAATAATTGGAGGATTAGAAAACATGCCCTAAAGTGTGCTCAGCTAAATAGATTGAGCTAAGAGAAGGTTAAGGGATGACTTGATCACAGTCTATAAATACCTACTTGGGGAACAACTATTTGATAGAGGCTCTTCAGTCTAGCATACAAAGGTAGAAAAAGATCTGATGCCTGGAAGTTGGAGTCAGACAAATACAGACTAGAAATAAGGAGTTAATTTTTAACAGTAAGAATCGTAAACCATTGGAACAACTTACCAAAGATTGTGTTGGATTCTCCATCTCTATTTTTAAATCAAGATTGCATGTTCTTTCCCCCTAAAAAGTCTGCTCTAGGAATTATTTTGGGGCAGTTCTCTGGCCTGTGTTATACAGGAGGTAAGATTAGACGATCACAATGATATATTTTTGCCTTGGAATCTATGAATTTTTAACAGTGCACCCAGATAACCCTTCACTGCCTTCATTGCCTCTGCAGATGACACCCACTGAGGAAGCGCAATGGAGGAATCAAACCCTCATAACTGAATTCATCCTGCTGGGGTTCTCCAACCTCCTGCACCTTCAGGGTCTGCTGTTCTGCATGGTCCTGTTCATGTACATGGTGACAGTGATGGGAAACACCCTGATCATCCTTGTCATCACAGTTGACCCCGCTCTCCACTCCCCTATGTACTTCTTCCTCGGGAACCTGGCCTTCATCGAGATCTGCTTCACCTTGGACACGGTGCCCAAGATGCTGGTGAACCTCCTGGCGGAGGACAAGAGCATCTCATTTGCTGGCTGCGCAGTGCAGATGTACTTCTTTTTCTTTTTTGGCTGCGCAGAGTGCTTCCTTCTAGCAGCCATGGCATACGACCGCTACGTGGCCATCTGCCACCCGTTGCGCTACAACATCCTCATGAACCAACGGGTCTGCCGCAAGATGGTGGGCGGTGCCTGGGTGATCGGAGTTCCTGTCTCTCTGCTGCAGGCAGCCTGGATCTTCAACTTGCCCTTCTGTGGCACCAACGAGGTCAATCATTTCTTCTGTGATGCTCCTCCAGTGCTGAAGCTGGTCTGTTCCGACACCTACCTGTATGAGATGCAGGCTGTCGCCTCCACGTTCCTGTTCCTCATGTTCCCCTTCATGCTGATCGTGGTCTCCTACGTCTGCATCCTTACGACCATCCTGAGGATGCCATCAGCTGAGGGCAGGCGCAAGATCTTCTCCACCTGCTCCTCCCACCTCATTGTGGTAACCTTGTTCTATGGGAGCGGCAGCCTGGTGTATCTAAGGCCCAAGTCTAGCTACTCCCCAGATATCAAGAAGCTCCTTTCTCTGTTCTACACGGTCCTCACACCCATGTTGAACCCCATCATCTACAGCCTGAGGAACAGTGACGTGAAAGGGGCTCTGAGAAGAGTGATAGGGCGGAAATTGTTTTTGCAGAATTAGTATGTGCTTTGATTAGACGTTGTGTCAGCATGGAGGATTTTGACTGATATCCTGCAATCCCCATAAACACCCGGAAGAAGGGACATTGAAGTCTGAGAGGGGAGCCGATGAAGGGACAAAAACTCAGTTATAGTAATGATAGTCTAGCAGTTGGAAACAAGATGGGTCTTTTTGTAAAGGATGTGGAATGGAACTCTGTAGAAAACAGATTTTCCCCCAGAAAACTGAGACCCCCAAAATTGTAATTTTTTGGCTTAAAACTGGGTATTTTTAGCAGTATTTGGCTAAAAATGTTCCACATTTTTTGGTAGTTTTCAGAATTTTTTGGGGGGCGGGGGGAGAATGACTGCTTAATATTTTCACCTGAAATATGCCAAAATTTTTCAGCTAAAAATTGCTGAAAACCTTTGGCCAGAAATAGCTGCAAACTTTTGGTTTCTGCACAAGAAATCTTTGATTTTCAGTTTTTAATAGAAAAAAAACAAAAGGAAAACACACATTCCCATGAAAGTCTATGATTTGATGAAAATTCAGTTATTCACCAAATGTTTTTGACCAGCCCTGTACAATAACATGTGCCATACAGTACTGAGCTAAGTCCAAAGACACTGCTCAAGAGTTAGAAGCAGAACTGGTCAAAAAAAGTCAATGGGAATCAGAAACAACAATTTTATTGAAATTGAAAGTTTTTCACAGGCCGATGTAGATTTCAACTAATATTTTGATGGCAAAATTTCAAAATGATTTATTCTGACTTTCTCATTTGCTTTCATTTCATTTTGATTTTTATATCATATTTTTATTATAATATGCACAGCACCTATCACAATGGTTCATAGCTAGTGTTCCTAGACATCAATCATCATTATCGAGAATATAATAATGATGACATGATTCAAACAGAATGGGTTTAACTTTTCAAAATGAAAAGTTTTGGCGTTTCTGAGTTGAACATTTCCAAAATTTCTGTTATGCAGGAAATTTCAAAATTTGAAATTCAAGACTTTTTTTTTCAGCAAAAATATTATGATTTCCCATGGAACAGAAATTGTGTTTTTCCAGCAGTTCTAATAAAAACGCATAAGTTGTTATTAAAATATTTGGAGGGACCTGATCCAGTCAAGTGCTGATTGTCCTCTGTAGCTGTTGATGTCAATCTAGGTACCTCATACTATTGGGCAAAGAGTCTTTCTAGGCGAGGGAGGCAAATCCTTGAGATAAAAGTAGAATGCTTGGAGGAGAACAGGGCGAATGGGATAGCCACATTAGATGAAATTCAGAGGGGCCAGTAGAACTCTATGCCCCCTTATGAGCATTGTCCCTCTGCCTAGGATTGACTGCCATTCCCATTAAGCACTGTTCTTCTGCAGAGAAAGATTCTGAGGACACAACAGGGCTTGGCAGTGGGTGTGTGGGTTCTCACTGGCCTTTAGCTCTGCAAAGAATTGATACTAAACAAATCACCTGCTGGTTGGATGCTGAAAGATCTCGAAAGCTATGAGGGCTGGGGTAGGTAAGTATGGGAGAAATCCTGGGGGAAACCCAGAAAAAGTCCCATGCATACCATATTATTAATTTTATTTATGGGAGATGGTGTCCTGTGATCAATAGAAGTGAGGCTTTTATCTGAATCATCGGTCTTTTATTCAGAAATATGCAGTCAACAGTGCCTATGTGTCTATCTTAGGTACATGTACACAAATGCAAGAAACCTGGGAAACAAGCAGGAAGAATTGGAAGTCCTAGCACAGTCAAATAGCAGAGACTTGGTGGGGTACCTCACATGACTGAAACACTGTCATGGATGGGTATAAACTGTTCAGCAAGGACAGGTAGAGGAGGAAAAGTGGAAGAGTTGCACTGTATGTAAGAGAGCGGTATGATTGTTCATAGCTTCAGTATGAAACTGGAGAAAAGCCTGTTGAAAGTCTTTGGGTTAAGTTTAGAAGCAAGAGCAACAAGGGTGCTGTCATGGTAGGCATGTGCTGCAGACCACCGGACCAGGAGGATGAGGTAGACAGAGGCTTCAGACAATTAACTGAAGTTTCCAGAACACAGGCCCTGGTTCAAATGGGGGACTTCAATCACCCTGACATCTGCTGGGAGAGCAATACAGCAGTGCACAGACAATCCAGGAACATATGGAGAGTATTGGGGACAACTTCCTGGTACAACTACTGTAGGAACCAAGCAGGGGCTGTTCTCCTCTTGACCTGCTGCTTACAAACAGGTAAGAATTGGTAGGGGAAGTAGAAGTGGGTGGCAACCTGGGCAGCAGTGACCATGAGATGGTTGAGTTCGGGATCCTCACAAAAGGAAGAAAGGAGAGTAGCAAAATACAGACCCTAGACTTCAGAAAAGCAGACTTTGACTCCCTTAGGGAACTGATGGGCAGGATCCCCTGGGAGGCTAATATGAGGGGGAAAGGAATCCAGGAAAGCTGGCTGTATTTTAAAGAAGCCATATTGAGGGTGCAGGAACAAAACATCCTGATGTGCAGAAAGAATAGCAAATATGGCAGGCGACCAGCTTGTCTTAACAGTGAAATCTTTGGTGAGCTTAAACACAAAAAGGAAGCTTACAAAAAGCGGAAACTTGGACAGATGACTAAGGAGGAGTATAAAAATATTAATTGAGCATGCAGGAGTGTAATCAGGAAGGCCGAAACACAACTGGAGTTGCAGCTAGCAAGGGATGTGAAGGGTAACAAGAAGGTTTTCTACAGATATGTTAGCAACAAGAAAAAGGTCAGGGAAAGTGTGGGACCCTTAATGAATGGGGGAGGCAACGTAGTGCAGATGATGTGGAAAAAGCTGAAGTACTCAATGCTTTTTTTGCCTCAGTCTTCACAGACAAGGTCAGCTCCCTCACAGCTGTCCTGGGCAACACAGTATGGGGAGGAGGTGAGCAGCCCTCAGTGGTAAAATAACGGGTTAAGGACTATTTAGAAAATCTGGACATGCACAACTCCATGGGTCCAGATCTAATGCATATGAGGGTGCTGAGGGAATTGGCTGATGTGATTGCAGACCCATTGGCACTTATCTTTCAAAACTCGTGGAGATCGGGGGAGGTCCGGAACGATTGGAAAAAGGCAAATATAGTGCCCATCTTTAAAAAAGGGAAGAAAGAGAACCCAGTGAACTAAATACAGGTCAGCCTCACCTCAGTCCCTGGAAAAAATCATGGAGCAGGTCCTCAAGGAAACCATTTTGAAGCACTTCTAGGAGAGGAAGGTGATCAGGAGCAGCCAACATGGATTCACCAAGGCAAGTCATACCTGACCAAACTGATTGCCTTCTATGATGAGATAACTGGCTCTATGGATATAGGGAAAGCAGTGGATGTGATATATCTTGACTTTAGCAAAGCTTTTGATACGGTCTCCCACAGTATTCTTGTCAGCAAGTTTTAAAAGTATGGATTGGATGAATGGACAATAAGGTGGATAGAAAGCTGGCTAGATTGTCGGGCTCAACAGGTAGTGATCGATGGCTCCATGTCTAGTTGGCAGCCGGTATCAAGCAGAGTGCTCCAGGGGTCGGTCCTGGGGCCAGTTTTCTTCAATGATCTGGATGATGGGATTAATTTCACCCTGAGCAAGTTCTCAGATGACACTAAGGAAAAAAGGAAAACATAGAATATCAGGGTTGGAAGGGACCTCAGGAGGTCATCTAGTCCACCCCCCTGCTCAAAGCAGGGCCACTCCCCAGATAGATTTTTGCCCCAAACAGTTCTCTCAAGGATTGAACTCACAACCCTGGATTTAACAGGCCAATGCTTAAGCCACTGAGCTATCCCTCCCTCTAAGCTGATGGTGAGAGGTAGATATGTGGAAGGGTAGGGATAGGGTCCAGAGTGACCTAGATAAATTGGAGGATTGGGCCAAAAGAAATCTGATGAAGTTCAACAAGGACAAGTGAAGAGTCCTGCACTTAGGACAGAAGAATCCCTTGCACTGCTAGAGGCTTGGGACCAACTGGCTAAGCAGCAGTTCTGCAGAAAAGGACCTGGGGATTATAGGGATTAAGAAGCTTGATATGAGTCAGCAGTGTGCCCTTGCTGTCAAGAAGGCTAACGGCATATTGGCCTAAATTAGTAGGAGCATTGCCAGCAGATCAAGGGAAGTGATTATTCCTCTCTATTCGGCACTGGTGAGGCCACTTCTGGAGTATTGCATCCAGTTTTGGTGCCCCCACTGCAGAAAGGATGTGGACAAATTGGAAAGATTCCAGCGGAGGGCAACGGAAGTGATCAGGGGGCTGGGGCACATGACTTACGAGGAGAGGATGAGGGAACTGGATGGTGTTTAGTCTGCAGAAGAGAAGAGTAAGAGGGGATTAGATAGCAGCCTTCAATTATATGAAGGGGGGGTCCAAAGAGGATGGAGCTTGGCTGTTCTCAGTGGTGGCAGATGACAGAACAAGAAACAATGGTCTCAAGTTGCAGTGGGGGATGGGAATGGGTTACCTAGGGAGGTGGTGGAATCTCCATCCTTAGAGGTTTTTAAGGCCCAGCTTGACAAAGCCCTGGCTGGGATGATTTAGTTGGCGCTGGTTCTACTTTGAGCAGGAGGTCGGACTAGATGACCTCCTGAGGTCTCTTCCAATGCTAATCTTCTATGATTCCATGAAAGCATATTTTTTAGATTCCTAATGATTTAAATTTTCACAATTGCATGAAATTATGGGTTTTAAGTATTTGTATCAATTTAAATTTTCACAGTGATAGGAAAATTTTGGGGAGGTGTCAGACAGTAGATGCTGAGATTCAAAAAGTTAACGCTTTAGAACTGTTACAACACAAATTGTTAACATCACCTGTCAAAAGAAACACAGCAAATAGCCTTCAATCTAACTCAGATAAGTTCTCCAGCAGCATTTGCCTATTTGTACATATTGCTTATTATCGATGGAAATATTTGTTTTTGGTTTGTGTGTGTGCGGCGAAATTGATGTTTACCAACATTTAACCCATAAAAATCTAATCTTTCCAAGCAT